GCACGCCCTTATTATGGCCTGAGGCCGAAAAAGTCGCGGAAGTTTCGAAGTGCATGCCGCGGTAATCGATGCCACCTGTTCATACGCTTCTCCGTTTTGAAGAAAATGCAACCGGTCGACGGTTATATTCAGGGAGGGGCAGACAGAAACGAGAATGAGGAGGAGGTGGAGGAGGGAGAGGAGGGGGAGGGGGAGGAGGAGGAGGAAACGGGTAATTCTCGTCGGTTTCAAGTGAACGTGTATTAAAAGTTGGATCGTAAAATCGTTCCTTCATAAGGGTAACGTTCATCCTTTTAATTGTGCAATCGTGTAAAATCCATGTATTTTGAGGAACAGATTTGTTGGAAGGAAGAATACGTTTTAGTGGGTTGGTGGAAATAAAGCTCGCAGAGATATTGTAACGATATACGAAATCACATAGCTCGAGAAAAGGAGGCTGATATTTGAGGATGACTATCTTTGATGAGCGTTGTTTGATTAATTGTAGTGATTGTGATGTTTCCTTACTGATGAAGTTGGTATTTTTTGCAGAGGTTTTTCGTTCGGACTGGTTATGTATTTACAAACATGAATTTGATAGATTCTGGCGGTAATATAAATTTCCGTTCGTATATTTCTCCTCCTTTCTTTCCTTCACTCAAAAAATTCTTTCTAAGTAAATAGCACTTCTCTAGAAATCCCACTTGTTACTTTATTTCCGAACAATTCAAAAATAATCTTCAATCTAAACCAGCGGCATTCAACCTTTCTTATTTCATTGCACACATAAGTTAGCTGCGGAATTTTATGCGTTTTTATATTTTTATGGACGTTATTAAAGACACGGAACACAAATTTGTTTTATCTAGAAAATACTATAATGAACACCCTATTTTTAATTCTTAATTTTAAATATATAAATAAATATAATATAAATTCCTTATTTTCTGTTTTGGATATTTTACATATTTTTGCATATCACATGCATTGTGCATATAATTTAAATTTAAATGAGAAATATAAATTTCCCATAAATGCATAAAAATTCGCAGCCTAATAGCTATTATAATTAAAAGATATATTATATTATATTTGATTCAAGATAGGACATTCACATCGAACAGCCATTATTGTTTTTATTTCCAATCAATCTAACAAGAAAGAGGTCAATGATTCGCTGATTATTAATCGTTTATTAATCAATTAGAAAGTATTAATATATATAAATAAAATGTTAATATATTATTAATCGTGAAATATCACATATTTCACAAATTCTTACGGCACATCGGTTGAAAATCACGGATATAAAGTATAAGGTCTCCTCCAAGGCAAATCCAACAAATTGCCATCTCGCATTTAAAAACCAAGAGATCAAAAAAGCACGTCATTTCTCAAAGAGGAAGCTCGAAGTCGCTTTAATAACACTGGCGAGGTAAACGAGGGGAGGGGGTCGACAAAGAGGCAAAATAAAACAGAGGAACCCGTTCCGTGGATCTCGATGCTGGGGGGACCACCTGTAGGCTCGACACCAGCGGGGCAAACCGCTAGCAAACCGCAAGACGCGATAATTATGCTGGAGGCCTAAAAGCAAAGGTGCGTTTCAGCGAAGATGCCGCGAGCTGTCCGACACAGGATAGAAAGAGAGCGAACCAAACGTAAAACGAAAAGCGAAGAAGAACCAGAAGGGGACCACGTGGGAGAAGGAGAAAAATTGCACGACAAAAGAAGAAGGAAAAAAAGGAGAGGTAAATCGTAACAAAACGGTGAAGCCACATAAAAAAGCACTTAAAGGAGGAGAAGTTGCGCGAGGACGAAACGAAGAAGGTGTAAGAGGATGAAAAGCGAAGAAGTAGCGAAACAACGGACGAAACGATTTTGGAAGGAGAGAAAGAAAAGCGAAGAAGCGGTAGAAGACGAAGAAACGAAGCAAGAGTTGCGGCCACGGGTGCACCAAGCGTGACAGTGGGTGCACCAGCACCTGCCCATTCTTGGAGAGCTCTGCCGCGCTGTGATTTATGGAAACAAAGAGTGGATGGAGCGGGAAACACGGTACGACCAGCTTCCTTCTCGTTGACTTTCGATATGTACTGGGGAACGGAGGAGATCGGAGTGTTTGGAAGAATATTTGGAAATGGAACGCGATTTTTTTAGCAAGAATCGTAAGTGGATATACTTGTACTTACGCGTGCGTTAATAAATATTAAGACATATATAAAAAAATAAGGTGTAATGTCATATATAATATAGTAAGAAGTTACTATATATTTGTTTGGAACCTCAGACTCAAAGAAATCATATTATGTTCAACATCGTAATACAAACCTCGTCGATTATTGTATATGTAAACGTTAAATGTTCTTTTTTTTTTGTTTGTATTCATTGTATCTCTCGATTATTACATTAATATACTATTTTAGTCAAGTTTGATTTGTTCATGTTATTAGATTTTTGGTTACATTACATATTCTGTCATGTTTTCTATTTTGTTATTTGATCGCACGGTATATATAATTTTATTAGTCAGATTTAAATTTTGGACTATCTAATTCGTTTGAAACCTTTTCAATAAGGTTAAGAGAAAAAAAATTGAACAGCTGCTAACATAAAATCGATAATTCATTATTACCTGTACAATTCACGTGAATAGTTTTCATAATTTCTCTTCAAAATTTGAATCGATTAATTATTTTTTAAGCAATCTAAATCAATTATGACGTTCGGTATGAAATCAGCAGGTGTTCTAATATTTATGAACTGGAGTGTATTATGAGTGGATCGAAGGTTAAAGAAGACAGTTCTAAACACTCCTCGTAATATAATGCAATAGGTATCATAGTAATATAATGGAGAATTTGGCCTTAATT